GCAACATCTACTTAACCGCTTTTTAATTTTAACGCTGTAAATAGTAATTACATTTCTATACGATATTATTATTTGTCAAGATTAATAATATTATTAAAATGTKGATCGGACTTGATCCACAAGTACGAAAAGACAGTTGAAAATTTAAATTTACCCGCGCTATCGATACAACTTCCTTGGAAATTATTCCGTGCGTGAAATAACTACATTCGTGCACGTGCGGGAACGAGATGAAAACTGAAAAGCGATTCAGTGATAATGTCAGAGACTCAGAGATAACAATGGTCGGCGGGACGGCGTTGGTTGGTGCTGTTGGTAGCTGCTGTCTGCTGTAGTTGAGACTCGCGGCAAATTAAATGTCAATCCAATTGYGAATTTTAGTTTAATTTAACACGATGATTACCGAAACTGAAACGCCAGAAGATGCCCCGAAAAAAGCACTCATTTACATTTGTGGAGGTAARTATCAAAATGTATTTTATTCATCGTGTTTCGACAACAACTTGCATAATATTTTGTTGTAATTGTACCCACAGTTATAGACATTGGCTATTTCGTTTTTGATTCAAATCTAATATTTTGTTTTTTTCTTGTGCATGGACAATGACAGCTTGCCAAGCTGAAAATGAAATGAAACCTAAAGACCCGATTCGATGCAGAGAGTGTGGTTACCGAATTATGTACAAGAAACGAACAAAGAGATGTATCCTTTTAAAATCATAAATAGTTTGAGACGGTCTAATTGTGTATTGTTAGGTATCATTACAAAGTATGGGAATTGGATGGGTTAAATAGTCGATAGGTTCAATTACTAGGCTCAACCTACAAATAAATTGGATTTGTGCAAACATTTTATCCGTTATATGAAGTCATTAAGCGATTGTATATGCTTAGACATTTTAGGGTATGACCTTACTCTTACAATCTACATAATATAACTGTTAGGGCCAGTTRTACCGTCTCTGATTAAAGTTAACCGTAGTTTAATCGGCCGAATTTGCACGGTTATATAAGACGGTACAACTGGCCCTTACCTTTACTAAAATTTGATCCCATTAGTAAGTGGTTATAAAAATGTGTAAGTGTCCTGAGTAGAACTATACATGCAATAAGACTGCTTTTTAAAAAATATTTGTTATTGTAAAAAAATAAATTAACATATTTGATTGTTATTTTCTACCATATGCTTTAAAACTTTTTTTTGATTTAACAATAATAATATTTTTTATTTTTTGCCAAACTTTAATACCTAACAAATGTTTCTTCATAATAAACAAWGGTATAGTATATACCAGGGGTAGGTATTAAACCTTTTACATTACACGACTCTTTATAATTTCTCTAAATTTTGGTAGCTATTAAAAATCATGGGATTAATGAAAATAAAATATTGAAAKGTCAAAATGTTCAGCAACATGAACTATAAAATAGRTATCTCTATTATTTACAAAAATAAAATACATGTAGCTAATTTTTATGTCAGACTAATAAAAAAAAAACAGATTTATGATACATTTATTATCTCAGGAGATATTGCAAATGATAAATCTTCGTGGAACATCCTTTATATGCATATTAGAAATGCATTAMTTAATTATATCAAGACAGCAAATTTTATGAAAACTGTGTATAAGAAACTGAAATTAAATGCTTTACATTTAGAAAAATTCAAATCCTCATCATCGTTTTTTTTAATTTTCCTCTTCTGTGCCATGGCTCCCCTGACTAAATATTCACGATGTCCCTGAAACCRTGACAAACAGTTTGAATACGTCTGGCATTTGTACACTATACTGTWATAATTCGCTACTCTTTCCAACTATTATGTATTTAGAGTTAATAATTAACTATGATGTAGCTCTCAATCAAATTATGATACTTTAAACACAGCTTGGCACCTTTTATTTTTACTGATAAAATTTATAATAAATTATAATTATTTAGTCTCCTYGTTTGGTTGAGTTTGGGTTAGGTTTGTTTGGTTGGGGTTATTGAAAATGTTTTTTTTTATGCTATAAACTTGTGTCATATATGTCCGGGAGTAGGCATGAAGACCTAGTTCAGACACCTATTTGGTAGAATTTCTATTGGGACATCCGTAGGTTTCTGCCATGCCCCGGATTGGGGGATGGCGGCACTTGTTCTCCGGACAGTGTGAATTGCCTGGAGAAAAATGTTGCCAGATGGTTGAGGATTGAACCCGGACCGGCTGACTATTGTATTAATCATTATAATGGTAAAATGTCCTATTTCAAACAGGTCTTTATATGTTGGCAATAGAGGTACTCCCCACTCTTTGGTATCTTCTCTCAAAAAAATTCTTCCTAATTGTTTATAGCTTATATTAATCAAAATTAAATTAAAAACATTTAATTGTATTTACTATTTAATATTGCTTTCCAAGTGACTTACACTATTTTTTTTTTCATTGACTAGTTTTGATTGTCCATTTATATAGTACTGCAAACTATTTAGAGCTTTATGTGCTTAACATACAATTTAAGGGCAACTCTATTTTCTGTTAATATTATAATTTCTGATTTATTTTTATATATGTCAAGATTAAGTTTCATGCCCCAGATTATTAAACCACAATTCAATGGGCATATTTGTTTTTGTGTGGCATAAAAATAGTTTAAATTATTGCAAAGATACTAGCTAAAAGCTGTATTATTCACTCAAAGTGAAAAATTATTGATTTTCCATTATACTTGTTTGTATTTTTTTATTCTGGTTTCTCTTTTTGCATACTTAATAGTTTAAATAAATTATTGGTTATTGATTTCTATGTATTTGTGCCTCTATAATTTCTATTTTTACTATTTATGGTTTTTCATTAAAGTAATTAATTATTTAATAATATGAACTATTTTACAAAATGTTGAAAAAAATATATGTATGCAATATTAAGACCTAAA